AGTGCCCCCTTCCCACCCCCATTGTGATGCCTCCACCCTGTGTGGAGGCAGAATTTCTTCCCTGGAGCCAGCAGATGCTGGCATTATGCTCATAGACCTCCCAAGATGTGAACTAAACGTTTCAAGTTGCCAGCCTCAGGGGGGTTTTGCCAAAGCAGTGGGAAAAGAACTTTCAGGAGCTTGTACTCTTTGTTGTTATTGTTTTGGTTTTCAAGACAGGGTTTCTCTGTGTAACAGCTCTGGCTGTCCTGGAACTCACTCTGTAGATCAGACTGGCCTCGAACTCACAGAGATCCGCCTGCCTTTGCCTCCTGAGTGCTGGGATTAAAGGCGTGTGCCACCACCGCCCGGCTGCCACTACTCTCTTTTGTGAGATGCAGAGATCAAACGGTGAGAAAAGGGGAGTGGGGGGGTGGGAGAAGTCGTTTGAAGAAATGTAAAGCAATCCTAAGCAGAAAGAGAAATTTTAAAGGTGTCTCGATACCTGATATCAAGTGCCTGATATTAAATTATCCTACAAAGCCATAGCAACAAAAAACAGGCATAAAAACAGACATGCTTATCAATGTCATAGAATAAAAGATCCAGAAATATAAAACTTAGCACAGCTACAGCTAGCTAACGTTCAAGAAAGCTGTCAACAACATAAATCGGGAAAAAAAACTTCCAACAAATGATGCTGGGAAATGTCCACATACAGAAGAACTAAACTAGATCCATATCTCTCACCCTGTACAAAAATTCAAAATGAATAAAAGACCTTAATGTGAAACCTGGAAATTTGAAGCTGCTGGAGAAAAATGTAGAGGAAGCATTTCAGGATCTATATGGGCACAGGAAGAACTTTCTGAAAGGGACTGCTATAGCACAGGGAATTAATAATTATTTTATTATTATTATTATTATTAAAATTTCACTATAACTGGGAATGGCGGTATATGCCTTTAATATCAGTGCTCAACTGGGTAGGAGGCAGAGTCAGGTGGAGCTGTGTGAGTTCAGGTCAGCCAGGTCTACACCGGGAGTTCCAGCCCATCTAGGGCTAAATAATGAGATCTTGTCACATGATTGTCCAGCAAGCAAATAGTGATCCTCAAACCAAGAAGAGGAACCTAAGGAGCTACCACCTTGATCTCAGAACTTAAGGAGCTACCACCTTGATCTCAGACTTTCAGGCCCCAACTGTGAGAAATAAACATCTGTTGCTTATGCTCCCAGCCTGTCTGTATGCAGCCCAAGCTAAGACCCTCTCCTCACGCTTCTCCGTTTTCCTCACAGCATTTAAATAAATGTTTGCTGTACATTTATCTCTTCCTGGAAAAGCAATTATATTTGCTGCTCTTTGACTGTTTTCTTAGACTCTGAGGCAAAGAGATTCCCATCAATTTCAGTAAATATGTTAGAGGGAAGAGTCTGGCCTTTAGACTCTTCTATGAACTAATGCAAAGCTGGTCTTTTGTACCATTAGTTCAGAAGAGAACTGTTTCCCTCAAGGATGAAGGATAACTGGACTTGGTGTGTTATATAGAAGAGGAAGAAAACGGGAAGTTAAGACGGGATGGGGAACGGGGGTGGATCTGGAGGGAGTTAGGGGAGGAACAGGGGCGATTATGATCAAAATACACTGTGTACATGTATGAATTTCTAAAAATAATAAAATGTATTTGAAAACAGTCAGAGTTAGCACTGCTGGTCACTAGCATGGTGATTATAGAACTGTAAAAATGAAAGGCATTAGCACTGTGGTTATTTTAGATCTAGGCACAAGATGCAAAAGAAACCTACAAATATATTTTACAGTTTGTAGCCACTGAAGATAATTCAGTAGGAGAATCAAAGAGTAGGAGGGCCATTGTTTATCATGATGGTTTAAAAAGTTTTGTTTGTTTATTTCATTTTTTGGCATTGTTGTTTGTTTAGTTTTTTATGATCCTGACCTGTGGTGACTGTATATTTGAGCCTATGGAGGGAAAAAATCTGAACAACTTGCTCTTTCAGTCCATTTGTTAGACAAAATATGAGGAAGCATGGTGTATTTTATCATTTTTGTTTGTTTGTTTGTTTCTAAATGGCTATTTAAATACAGATAACAGGACACACGAGAAACTAGAGGAGCGGGTCTTGCCACCTTAACCAACCCACCTGCTACCCGATATGTCCACTCGGCCTGAAGAGGCAGCTGTGCCCTGTGGTGCAATGTGACTGGAGGCCTGCCCAAGTGGAGCCCAGGGAGCAGGGGACACGCTCAGAGTGAGAGCTGGGGGGTTGAGACGAATCACACATGACATATGCCATTCATGTCATTTCAGAACAGAGTGTGGGGGGGAAGGAACTACAGACAACAGGAGACAGGAATCAAAGCCAAGTTCACTGGATTTTGCTTAGAAGATCCAGCCTCATAATGCAAAGCACTATGAGGGGCCCAGCTTGTGTAGTGTAGATCATTTGCTTAAAACAACCGGCCTTTCTTCTGAACTAAGTGTGGTTTGGCTGGGGCTGTTTTATTTGCACTGATGAAGCTGAATGCGTGGAGACATTGCTATTTAAACTATCATTTAAATCTTTCAAAAAGAATTTTGTCTGTCTGTCTGTCTCTGTCTCTCTGTCTCTCTCTCTGTCTCTCTCTCTCTGTCTCTCTCTCTCTCTCGTGTGTGTGTGTGTGTGTGTGTGTGTGTGTGTGTGTGTGTGTGTGTGTGTGTCTCCTCGGAGTTTGCAGGTACCCACAAAAGCCAGAAGAGGATGTCAACCCCCATGGGACTGGAGCTCCCAAGTAGTTAGTTGTGAGCCATCGAAATGGATGCTGGGAACTGAACTCCAGCCCTCTGCAAGGACAGCAAGCACTCTTAACTGCTGAGCCAACCTAAGCCCTGCTGTCACGAATCTTACCAAATTACAGGGAATGATTATTTAAACAAGTATGTTTAGCACGTGTCCTGCGCCAGCGTTTACCTAATTGTGTAGCTTTGCCTGTTCTTTCTTTTTTTTCAACTGAAATAAAATTTTTCGGTAGTGACGCAGTTAGGTATACTCCAAAGACTGAGGAAAATTGAGTCAGATGTGTTGAACACTCATCTGGATACCAGGTTTCCGGGCCTAGAATCAATCCTTACATAACTGGCGATTGGATGATTCCAAGAAGGCTTCTTTAGTGGGGGAAAAAAAATTTCTTTGCACTATTCCCCCTTCTTACAAATCTGGAGTATCCCATGACTTAAAAACACACCTAAAACCAGCTAAGTGTGGTGGTGAACACCTGTAATCCCAGCACTCAGGAGGTGGAAGCAGAAAGACCTGGAGTTCAAAGCCATCATGGCAAGTCTGAGGTCAGCCTCGGCTATGGGACACCTGTCTCAAACAAATAAAAAAATCAAAGCGCTAGAAAACAAATACTTTTAAATTGGACTATGATGTGTGTGTAGCATGTGTGCACATGTATACACACACAATTTCACCGCGAAAAGGTGAGGTACATACAGTGCTTCAGAGCAGAACATTTCAGTGCACAGGTATCGGCATTCACTTGCAGAGAATTCTGGAAACCAGATGTGGAAAACAGTTCTAGTTATTCCCACTGGCTGGCCGGCGATTCTGTCTGGACACAGGGCAGTGTTTTGGGGAAACCACATCCCTGCTCAGCTGGGGACCCAGCGGAATTTGTAACCACCGGTGACTGTCCGGATGGTGAAGGCTTTGCCCTGGGGGAAGGCCAGAGTTCGGATGGTGCTGTGGCTGCGGATGGGCGTGCTGAAGGAGCCGCCCTCCTCGAGCTCACTATGGCTCAGGTTCACTGAGCTGGCGCTGCAGTCCGTGTGCAGCCCTCGGAAGGCCCCGTGCAGGTTCCTGGAGCTGCCGTTCTTGCTGCCGGGCTCTTGCTGCAGCCTGGGCCGCTTGGGGTCACGGTTCTGCAGGGCTTCATCGCAGCGCTGGGAGATGTCCCTGAGGATGGCGTCCACTTCCGAGCAACCCTGTCCTGCTTGCCCCGCCGCACAGAACAGCTCCTCCAGGCTCCTCTTCGTCGTCGCCTTGATCTGGAAGGGCTCTGCTGGGGACTGAGTGATCATCAGCTTCTGTAAAAGATGGAGAGCCCTGGAGCCGGGAGGACTCGCCTGGAGCCAGGAGGACTCGCCTAGAGCCGCGCGGATAGGAAGAGCCCGGGGCTACACCAGGGACACCCAGGGGCCCCAACACAGGCGCAGCGCTACAGTTCCGACGATGTCCCGCGCGCCTGTCCACTCACGTCCAGCACTGAGGCCAGGTGCCGGGTCCGGCTGGCCAGTTCTTTCAGCTGCACGTTCCTCTCCCTGAGCGAGGCGATCTCTTCCTGCTTCTGCGTCAGCGTCACGTGCAGCTGTAGTTGGAGATCTACCATCAGAGAGAGGCCGCAGTGCTGGTGGGTCTAAACTCAGACCTTGACATCTCATCAGGACCTTTGTTCGCCCGACAGTAGCCAACGATTTGACTTTTTTTTTTTTTAATTTAATGAAGTAGTAGGACAAACGGTATCTCAGTTAAACTTAAATGTGTTGTTGAGTGGTAGTCAAAAGTACTGATTTGGACCACAGGCCCATCTAGGTTCTCCCCCTGAAGTTCAACCACCCTGTCTCGGTTTATATATCTATAAAATGGGGCTAGTGAGATTGTCTACCTTCTGTGTTGAATCAAGTGAGAGAAGAAAGTAAACTGATAAGCACAGAGTCCAGCACTTAGAAAATTTTCCACAAATGCTGTTAGTACGATTACCAATCTGATGGGACCCAGAGCAGTGATGCACACTTGTAATCCCAGCACTAGGGGAAACTGAGGCAGGAGGACCAGTGAGAGACCACCCCTCCCCACTTCCCCCTAAGGCCCGGAGAGCTGAGGGAAGGGATATCTTAAAATAGCCAGAACTGAGTCAGTTCCCCATTCCCAGACAGGGTGAAGTCAGAAGTTTCAAAAGTACAAAGTCAGACTGTCTGGTGGTGACTAACCACGGGACGCCCCCTCCCCCCCCCCCCCCCCCCCCGAGATAACATGACCAGATTTTGGAGATGGGCTGTAAAACTCCCGACAGAGCAAACAGACAAACTAAAATAAGATAAAGTCCAAGCTCAGGAAGACTGGACCAATCAAGGATGGACCCGTACTAACCCCCTCCTCTCTGAAGAATTTTGTGGTTTTTGCCTTCAAAAGCTAACCTCCCCAAGAAAGTATTGCGCCGAGAAGTGAACCTTGCTATTGCATTCTGGACATCTTTGGTCTACAGTGGTCTCTTTGGGGGTCCTAATCTGGGCAGAACAACCAGAATTCTCGGCAAGCCTGTGTGTGCTACATGGTGAGTTCAAGGAAAAGAAAGGGGGTTGGGAGTGTAGCTCTGGGTTGGGAGTGTAGCTCTGTTGGAGGAGTATTTATGCATGAAGCCCTGGATTAGGTCCCCAGTACCCCATAAACCAGAAATGTCAGCATGTCTGGGGGGTCAGGAGTGCTGCTACATAGGGAGTTAGAGGCCAGCCTGGGCTACAGCAGACCCTGTCTCTAAAAAAAAAAGGGGGGAGGGTGAGGAAGAAAAGGAAACTGAAAATAAGAGAAAAGAAAGTCCGGTGGGGTGTGATCATTTCGATTTAGCGAGTTCTGAACCAGTTTGGGCCACTGGAACAGTATCGGCTATTAGAACCACCGGGCCCACACAAGCGCACCCCCAACCTTCACAGCTCCCAACTTGTGCTCTCTACCAGGCCCTGTCCTCACCCCCAAGATTCCTAGCCACCGGTGTCCTTACTTGGTTATTCTCTATGAGAGCAGTCCCCAGTGCTCTCTGGTTCTGGTCGGCCACCTCCTTCCAGTACTGCTCGGTTGGCGGTGGCGGCAGGTCTGGAGCGCAAGGCGGTGGGGGCAGTGGCGGAGACCCTAAGGCAGGTGGGTCCAGCGATGGGGAGAGGCAGGACCCGAAAGATGAGACATCGCCAGGGGAAAAGGGAAAGTCACCGTCGGTCAGGGGAGGCGACATCAAAGAGGATGAATCTGGGAGAAAGCAGGAGCTGGATTGGCTGCCTCCAGATCATGCCCAACTAGCCACGGGGGCAAAATGCCACCCAGACATTGGGTTTGTATGAGTTTTATAAGGCAAAGTCTATGATCCCTGATCTTTCTCGCTGTTTTGTTCATACGCACCTGCTGAGCTAATCTGAAAGAAATCAGTCACGCCTCCTGGGGCCCAGAAGGCATAAAAGGTTTTGTCCCTCCATAGACTTTTGTCATTTAACTTCTGACACACCACACCACAGTATAGGGACCTCGTTCCCAGAACCCACACTGAGAAACGCATAGTCTAAAGATCAAGTGACATAATTTCCCCATTGTAGAGAAAGGATACCCTCTATTAGGGAGAGTCTGACCCCTTGGCGAAAGAGGGACTGGCCAATGACAGATGGCTGGACTGATCACCTTCACTACTACACAATCTGGTTTTGGTAGGTGACAGCCCTTCTGTTACTTAACTGCAAGGAGACGGAACTTGCCTGCAATGAGATCATCCACCGTGTCTCTGAAATCCTGCAGGTTGAAATCTTCTTCGGTTTGCAAGGAGTGGTTCTAAAATAAACCAACGGTGTGAGCCAGAGAACAATTCTAGACAGACAGACATCCTCGAAGCTCCTAAGGCTAGTCTGTATGCACTCTGGTTCACAAGCAGAAATTTTAAGCTTCATCTCACCCATCGAACGGTAGGTTTCTCTTGGGCTGGCAAGAGTGAGCGCTGCTCCTCCAAGTCTCAAATACCACAGGCACAGCTGTCCATCCCCTGCCAGCCCACCTGGGTTTTGGACAACTCATCTGAGCTCCCTCACAGGTCGGTCGTCTCGCAGCCATGCTGACTCCTTTCCATATTCTTTGTGCACCCATAGAACTGCAGCTCCAACTTAAACCCCACCCCACAACCACCCCAACACACACCCTTACCTCTCTAAGAGCAGAGAACTTAGCATTAACACCAGGACAGGCACCAAGGCTTTCAAAGCCTAGGCTTAAAGTGCTAACCACTTCACCCATAAAGGAAAGGGAAACGTGGGCTGTGACCAATGGGGCCAGGGATACTATGGAAAGGTATCTGTTCCAGGGGCTGTAGCAGCTATGGTGTGTGTGTGTGTGTGTGTGTGTGTGTGTGTGTGTGTGTGTGTGTGTGTGTTGTTAGGTTGCTGTTTGGGGTTTTGGGTTTTTATTTATTTTATTTTATTTTTTATTTTTTTTCAGTTTCTCTAAAAGTTGGAGTTGGCTTTTCACCTGTGGTGGAATACACCTTCATGTTGCCTGGCCAGTGTTCCCAGGTGCCTGAGAGAGAAGGAAATGGAAAAAAGGTGGGGGTCCAGGCATCTTCCTAGTCTCTTAAGGGATGGACATTTCAAGTCGATGACATTTTTCTATTTATGTAATCTCTTAGTTAATCCTCCCCCCAGTATGGAAAGTAGGCAAGGTCCACAGGATGCTTCTTCCTCTTGAGAGAGAATCCTGCAGAAGATGAACTGCCCGATGCCTGTATCATTCCTCTCTCCTGGCTGTTTCATTGTCTGTCTTTTTAGGAATCCCTGGCTTGCTTGGAGGCCAGTGTTAGAAAGGAATCTCTAGGACCATGGTATGAAGGGATCCATCCCAGATGCCCACCAGAAATGTCTACTGATTCCACTATTGATTCTTATCTTTGTATTAATCATTTTCTTCTTCCTAAAGCCCCTCTTTCCAAGTCATATATTTTGGGGACTCAAAACTTACTCTGACTCTAACCTTTTTTTCTGGCCCTGTTTTCAAAGTACCAGATTCCCTCATGGAAAAAAGGAGAGATGTCCTCGGTAGCTGTTGGACGTTGAGGACTCTGGGTCAGGTGACAGAGCCCTAGGCTTGTCTTCTTTATTTGAGCATTAGATCTAAAAAGAATTAAGCAGCCTCTGCAGAGTAGTGGTCACTCCCTTAAGGTCACTTAACCTTGCCTTAAGATACTGCTTCTGGGCACCACCCCTACCCTAAGGTTGTAAGTGGCTAGTAAAGGTGTCCTTAGGAATGTTGCTTAGCTTCTTCATGGTGGTTATGAATTTTGCAGAGTTCTGTAACGGGCCTGTTCCCATGGACCTGTGGTCCCAGCATCTGCTGTTAGGAAATTGGATGTAGTCCTCTTCCTGTGGGTTTCATCTGGATAAGACCACCTGTCCTTCCGGACACTTCATGTGCCACCAAAGAAGAATCAAGACCCAGGCCTCTGAGGTCCTGGAGCTGAGGAGGCTCCATTCTCTGGCTGGGATGTGTCAGCGATGGCAGGAGGAGAGAATGGGATGAAGTAGGAAGGTTTAGAGGAAAACGGGGAAAAGTTTCTCTCCTCCAAGATGACAAAGGACTAGCATGTTGGGAGGAACAGAATAAAACTTTTAAAGCGGCCAGCTGCCGAACGTCCATCTCTGCAGACAGAACGTTTTCCTCCAGCTTGTTTACAGAGTCCCTTGTCCTCTCCCCCAGTGACTTCGATACTCCGTTGGTACCCACGAAATAGAAATGGTTCCTGAGGGGTCAGAAGTGGGTGGCAAACAAAACAGTTATTCTCTGCGCGTGTGCCCCAATCACGTGGTTCCTCACCCTACCAGCTCCGAACTGCCTTGTTCAGATGAATGACAAAGGGACCCTGCAGTAAAAGTTGGCCACACCGGCTCCGAAAATGAGAACTTAATAACATACTAGGAGGAAGGAGAAAATTGGGATCTGGGATGCTTGGCTTCCCTCGATATGCCGAATGTGCCTCTGCTCCCAGTCCATCTTGAGACCTTTGAGGCAATAAACCCACCAAGTTCGCAGTTGGTTCTGTAGGTGGCCAAGCTCCAAGCAAGGGAAAGAGTACCTGCGAGGCGGAGGAATCACCACTAGGAGACGCTTCGGAGCCGAGTAGCGAGGTGCAGTCTGCGAGGTCCTGCAGGTCTATGGTGGTGAGGGCTGCGCGGGGAGATCGGGAGACAAGCATCCAGCGTACCCTAAGCCTCTCTGCCAGGTCGCCGCCAGGACCCTCAACCAAAACTTCGGAGCCCGGGGCAGAGGGGCTGCAGACCGCCTGCGCCGCACCCACCTGGCATGGATAATCTAGGGGTCGCGCAGGTGCCTCGGGGCTCACCTGGCAGTGCAGCCGGCTCTGCGTCAGGGGGATCCTCGAACACCGACCCTGGGCTGTCGCCGCTGCATCCCGAGAAGGACTTCCACGAAGGAACGAACTAGCCGGGCACAGAAACGGAGAACTCAGGTCCGCGTTTGGGGCGCAGGGCTAGCAGGCTCTGCCAGAGCCAAGACCGTAGCGAGCATCCCCACCTTCCTCTCCGGCTTCCCGGGCTTGCCGAGGGGCCGCCGCGACAGGTCCAGCATCCTGTTGGGGCAGATGCTGTCGAAGGCCCGGCGTCCGGCCGCGCTGCCCTCGCACGCCTGCATCCTGGGATGGCGACCCACACCCAGCGCTGCTGCACCTGTTGGTGCCTGAGATGGGCGACGGCGCGTGGAAGGAGCGGAGGGAGGGCCTCGAGGAGAAGGGCTGTGCGGGAGGGGCGGCTCGCGCCTGAGCGCCAGAGGTGGCGCCTTCTGCCCGGGACAATCTGCGCGCGGGCGGAGGCGTTAACCAACCTGGCAACCCCGGCTTCCCCCGGGAGCTGCGAGCGCGGGGCCCGGCCCGCGAGCGCCCTTTGGCGCCGCGGCATCCTGGCTGTGCCAGGCGAAGGTGGGGGATGGGGGGGGGATGAGGGGAGGGAGGGAGGGCGGACAACTCCCGTCCCTAGCCTTCCAATTTATGAACAGCAGGGATGTGAAAGTTAACGATTCTTAGATTGTTCTTACCACCCCAGACACAAGGCACACAATAAAAGTGGAGTGACAATCGCCAAAGCAGGACTCCGAAATTTTCTCAGCAGGTTCTAGAGGGGGAATAGAGAGCCAATAGAGGACCTTCCCAGGCCAGCCTCCAGATTACAGAAACTGCCCTCAAACCTGAACAGCATTCTGGATTTTGGCATAGGGCTTTCATTTGGCCTCTCATTCTTGCCTACTGTCAAGAGCTCCGCTCTGTACTCGAGCCTTGCAACTTCCCCGGAAATGGTGCCTAAGCATATTTTTTTAAGGATCAAGAAAAGTGACAATGCTGAGGCAGGAGGATTGCCGTGAGTTTGAGACTAGCTTGGGCTACACACTGGCTCATAGGCCAGTCTGAGCTAAAAGGCTGCCGCGGGGGCGGGAGGAGTGGGATGGGGAATGACATTTACTCCAGTTTCTGAAAACCCCTATTGTGGGCATCTCCAAATCCCCTAAAACCCAGGTGGCTTCAGCTGACTGTCCTAGCATTTGGCTGTCGCCTTTACAGCTGCAGTTCCACAGATCTCTTCAAGTCAGGCCTCTCCCTGGAAGAAGCATCTTCCAGAATTTGAGTCCACTAGAAAGAGACATCTCTCAGAAGGGAGCATCTTTGGGTGAGGGGACTTCATTCTGGACCACCCAGATCAGTTCAAGGTAAACAAGCGTCAGAAATAGGAGTCTGAGTACCTTTCTACGGACAGCTTGCTCTTGCCTTACACCTAATTAACACAAGTGAAGGATCTTTTATTTGCACCCATTAGCTGAATTAAGAACCAAGCTATTCCTAACAGTGGTGGATAATGGTGAGTAAACTTTAAAACCTCTATTTCCTGGATCTGAGCCGGTGGGGTTGTGGGGGGTGGGGAGGAAGCACTGGCTTCAGGGTGAGAACGCACAAGGATGGGGATTAGACCCCACCAGACCAGACATGCCTTTAAGAAAAACCAACACCCTCATCCCCCAGCAGAGTTGGGAAGAGGCGTCAGCTTTATGTATGTGCAGTGGCTAGTGCTTGGACAAATTAGGGGTTTTTTTTCTTTTTTTAAAGCAGCCTTTCCAACTAAACTTCCAGCTTCCCATCGCCTGTTCCTGGTCCTGTTCCCTAGCTGTGGAAAATTTAGGAGACAGGTACGGGAATGTCAGAGGGGATTGGACTCTTAGACACTAGTGAAGCTAACAACCCCCAAAGGGCCGCTTCTTTTCATGAGGGCCAGATCTCAAGGGTCCCCTTGTCACCTCAGCTGAGGGCCCCAGGTGGTTGAGTTAGACAGGTGACTGGGTCCTCATCCTCTTCTTGTATCATCACACAGCAGCTGTTCCCAAGGAGAGAGCCCTACCAGCTTAGCATCTCAGCATAGCCAGAGAGGAGGGGCCTGAGGGACCCAATGTAGGCAAGGGACCCGGCTCCCAGAGGGCTGTGGTGGAGGAAGGCAAAGGCCCTAAAGTTTTTGGGTTGCATTTTTTTTTTAAGCATACATTCCGACTTACTCTACATGCAGAGGCACAAACTGGGATTTCTTACCCACAACTTAAAATTTTTCATGCAAAAGAACTTTGAGAGAAAAAAGAAAAAAAAAAAAAACAACGAACCATGTGTTCGCCCTAATTTAAGTTTTCGTTTTCCTGCAAAACATCTCTCCTCCCGTCACTGTGCAGGTTACCACTGTCAATTCTTGAGGGTTCTCTGAATTAGGAATGGGGGTATGTGATCATCTCGGCATAGCCATGCTGTAGCCCTAAGATGGGGGCCATTATTCCGTTTTTAGAGACGAGAAGTGGGCGTAAGTTCTCCTAGCAAATTGGCTCCACAGCTACCCATTAACCACTATTCTCCCCACCCCCACCACAGAAACAATCTCATTTAAACTTAACCCGGAGGTCCACTGGAGTTGGAGACTTGGCTGCAGGGGGTGGAGCTGAGGGGCAGGGCCTACAGCTGATTAACGACAGAGTCTGAAGATGGCGACCACAACAGCAGCCCAGGAAGCGTCCCGCTTCCCAACCTTCCCAACCGAGTCTCCCATCTGTAAAGTGAGTCCTGTAGCAAGGCTAAGAGCAAAGACAAGACAGAGTGCTGAGTCCAGGAGCACTAAAGGAGAATGAGGTGTCTACCACAGAAAGAGGGCTTTAGAAGAATCCATTAACATAAACAGTAGCAGCTTAGCAGTGTGGCTAAGCGTTAAGACTCATGCATTACATTGCCTGTGTCCTAATGTCTGCAAAGTGGGAGAAGACTGCTTCAATAGCATTGTCGAGGGGTGAAATAAATGTTAAACACATGCAGGATACGTTGCAAATAGTCAATATATTCTTTATTACTGTCGCGCCGTTGCTACCCTGAGCTTGTGCAGCAGCTTGAACTGAATCATGCATGTGACTGCAGGGGAAATGGCCCAGGTTGCAACAGCTATAAGAGGATGCAAAAACTTTCCTTTCCAACATCTCTTGGGGTGCACCAGGGATGTCTCTTGCTTTGGCTCTCGCTGGTAATGCCTACCTGGGTACCCCAAGCTTCCCAGATCCATATCAGCGAGTGGCAGGCACTGCCCTTCTGATCAACACAGACTACAATGACTTCTGTCTCACACTCCTTGGGCCACTGTCGTGGGGGAGGGGACACGGCCTCCAGACTGGAGGGGGTTAAGATACAGACAAGCAACCTTGACTTGTCTGATTACTGGAACAGTGGCATATAAAATCTTGCTGGCTTGTGTTCACAGAGCTGCTAACTACAGAGTACAAAAACGTCAGGAGCAAGGAGAGACTCTGAAATTGGCAACCATCTTGACTGACCATCAATCACTTGTGAAGGGCAGACTGGACAACAGCATTTAGACAAGCCAGGACTGTCACCCTGCCCTTGTGTACTGAAAAATAAGTAGATCCCACTATTGTACACTATTTACAAGCAGGGGTCCTGAGCTTCTCTTTGGATTAATACTGCACACTCTCCTGAAGGCACAGAGCCAGGGCCAGGGGAATAAAAGAAACCCAAGGGTGTGCTTTTTATTTCCAACTCTGGGGCAGCCTGCACTTCTCCCAGATATGGGGAGGCAGTATGTGAGGCAGGGAGGTACTGTTGATGGACACCAGCATCTGCAGCTTGCCCAGGCAGTCTTGCAGCGCGGCCTCTGGGTGCTCTCCCAGGCGAAGATCCAACGGGTGGGGGAGCTGTAGCATGCGATCGGCCAGCGCCAGGCAGCAGATGGCCAGCAGGGAAGGTGTGTAGTTGGTGAAAGCATAATCGGCCAGGCTCAGCTCCGCCACGCCCCGAGCCAGGGTTTGAGCCTCCAAGGCCCGGGTGACGTCAGCATGTCCCGCCTCCACGCGAGCGTGAGTGAAGTGCTCCAGGAAGAAGTTGATGGTGGGCGCGCCTAGGCTGAAGTGCAGCTTGTGTAACACGATGCACTCAAGGTTGCAGAGCTGCTGCCGAGAGAAAGCGCCACCGCACAGGGCCAGGAGCTGTTTCACGCGAGGTGGGTGCACCTCTACCTGCAACAGAGGACACTCTAGTTCCCGGCCTGGAGGTTTCCTGGGCCCCAAGCCCGCCCAGCCTTAAATCAGGGAGAAACTGGGACTTGAGCTCTATATCCTTCCAGCCAGCCTCGCACCTTTCCACGATTCCACCCTTAAACCACGCACGGCTGCTTTCGGTACAGCTTCTCTATCGACAGCCTAACTTTTAAAAAGTGTGTGATTGCGTGTGTGTGTGTGTGTGTGTGTGTGAGAGAGAGAGAGAGAGAGAGAGAGAGAGAGAGAGAGAGAGAGAGAGAGACAGACACAGAGACAGAGACAGAGACAGTGAGATAGAGAGTGTGAGAGATAGACAGTGTGTGTGTGTGTGTGTGTGAAAGAGACACACACACACAGATTTTAAAAACATGCTTCCCAGAGACTTAAAAGTGCTACACAGCTTTGGGTGGGAGGCTGGCTACAGCCTATCTCTTTGAGGTCTGTAGGGATTGTTCACTCTGTGAAACTATACGAAGTTAAGGCTGTGATCTGTAAAGATCTGCGAGCATCTGCCTAGATGAGTCCAGCCACCCAACGCTGAACTATGCACATTGGAGGAGAGGCTGGCTCCAAACACATCCCACCCTGCGCCTGGTGGAGGTACCTGCTTGCAAGCGATGAGCAGGCAGGTGACCCCCAGCAACTGGAAGCAGTCCGCAGCTACCGGGGTGGTGAGAAGGAAACGGTCCAGAGTGTTCACCGTCAGGCACAGAGACTCGAATGAGAGGCCGAACTGGCGGTGGACCGGCAGGAGCCAGCTGAGCAGCTTACAGCGGGATTCGGCTGTCACCTGCCGGGAGGGAGAGGGGAAGCGTGCTGCAGCAGGGGACCAAGATAATCCGGGGAGCTTTCCCGAACGGAGGTAGAGAGAAAAGGCTAAATGCACCGAAAAATGGGAAACACATGGGAGTGCAGACCTGGCTGAGTCCAGGAGCCCTGGAACGCCTGGGCTCGCGCTCGGTACTGAACGGCGTGCATCAGGGGTGGGGAAAGGTCCCTTTGCAGATGTGCAAACAAATTTAGGAGCTCCGGCTCTAACTTAGAAACTGTTGGACTCCTCTGCATTCTAATAAATTCCTGTAGCCCCCGGAACTAACGTACAGACTTCAGGTATCCCCCCCGCCCACTTTTCTCCATCTAAAGAGTGAGGTCAGTGGCCCAATCCTCGAAGATCCCTTTTGTTCCTAATGATGGCAGATAATGGGCTGCAACGACTAGGGCGCTGCGAAGGGCAGACAGCAGCAAAGAAGAGAGAGGCAGAAGCGCGATGGCCCGGGTCTGGCTCTGCCAACGGCCTCACTTGGGGCTGTCGCGCCAGAGACTCCCGCGGATGGAAAAGGCTCTCCTGCGCCTTGCGGAAATCATAGCAGCTCTGGCCGTAGTCTCGGAAGGTCTGGAGATCTAGCGCGGTCAAGGGCGGGGCAGGGCTGAGGAGGGAGCTGCAGTCCCGCGCCGTAGACGCCGCTGGGCTGTCCGCGCCGTCCGAGCTAGAGCTGGGGGACTCGAAAAGGTCACAGACGCCGGAGTCTCCCGGGAGCGACGACGCGTTCAGCGGCCGCAGCGGCTCCTTCCTCCGGAGGCGCGGGCGTCTGCTCTTCTTCACCGGGGCGCGGAGGTTCTGATGGCTGTCCCGCCTCCCGGCTCCCGCAGCGGGGCTGGCCGGGCTGGCAGGACAAGGGGTCACCATGATACAACGGGGTAGCCGCTCTTGGCGCCCACAACGCCCGGCTGCGGCGGGCCTTGAGCGTCGGCGCGAGGGAAGCGAGGAAGATCGGGTCCGGCTGCTAGCGCTGCTCTAAGTACCCGGCCTGAGCCTTCCCTCCACCACTCCCCCGGCCTCTCACTGGCTGAGCCCCGAGCGGCCCCCCGAGCCGCGCTTTCCCGGAGGCAGGGCCACTCCCCTCGCGTGCGGGCAACGCGTGGCTCCGGCGATGGCGCAGGGGCGGGGGGCGGGGGGGGGGGAGGAGGCGTTGCAAACTCGCGCCTCGCACCCGCCTTCAGCTGCGGGCTCCGCGCGCGTCTCGCGTCACCCTGGCAACCGCAGCCCGGGTCCTGGCGCCAGCTGCGCGCGCTGAGTGGAAGCCCTTGAAGACCACGGCTCACCTGGGTGAGCCTTGGGCCAAGTTGAGCGGTTCAGCCGCCTCCTGGGGGGGGGGGGGGGAGGGAAAGGCTGCACCCAGGGGACAAGGAAGGGACAGGACAGCTTCTTGTTCTTGGTTAGATTGTCTGGACTGGTGTGATCATCTTCTATGCCGACGACACTCGCCGACCCAGGTGGGTCTGCATCTGAGCTCCCGACCAAGAATCGGGCTAGATTCTGTCAGTACAGTTTTCTTCAGAGATCCATATAAAAGGACTATGAATTCATTTGAGTCTATTGCATTTCATTCCGCTGGTCTCGGGGAGCAGAGATCTGAGATATTATTCGCATCCGCTAAGTATGTACGTGGGAGCCCGTTCAGCCAGCCAGGTATTTGTGATCCAACACCGTGGAAAACTACCTCAAAGGATCGTCGCACAGCAAGCCTACTGCCCTCTGGATATTCTGTTCCTCACTTTTCATCCCAAGCCAAAAAAAAACCGAGGCTGTAGCCGTTTAAGAACGTAATGTCACAGGTGGCATTTCTGTCGAATTGCTCACAGTGTGTTCTGCTTTAGGTCATTAGCTCCTAACTCTGCCTTTCCTGGCTGTGCCGTGCGCCCTGGGGAGGGTGGAGGGGAAACAGGAATGCAGAGCTGGGGGCGGGGCGCACAGGCAGGAGAGAAAGAATGCGACTCCTTCTCCAGGCCTAACTGGTTTACTCCAGACTCAGGTCTTGACCCCGGCTGGAGTCCTTCTTTACCTTGAATCCTCAGGAGAGACTGTAACACTTTAGGAGAAGGGACCCTGGGGAACAAGAGGCTTCTAACTGACTGACCTTGTAATCATTTCCCAGATGCAAGACACCTAGATAAAGCTCAGCCAGGACCTCACAGAAGCACTCCAGTGGATGAGGTCGTTAGGTGCCATGAAATCTGCACACTTGGCCATCCTCACTTAATAACAAAGAGAGCCGAAACGTTTTTATAGTCTACGTGCAAATTCTGCCCCTAGAAACCCGGCAGAGAAGCCGGTGAGAGAGAAAAAGCCTGGATTCCGATTCTCGCCGCTGTTTCTAGTCTGTATAATCCTGAAGGAGCTTTTGCTCTCCCCGTTAAACCGCAGCACCTGTGACACCACGGGGGTAGGCTGAGACTCACCTGAGAAGGGTTTTCAACTTGCAAGTGCCTGGCTTTCTGGTTCCTCTCAGGTTGGTGGTAGCTAACCTTATGGGAAGATCAACAGAATCCACAGAAAGGAAGGTCTCATTATCAGGCTTCTTCCAAGAAGAGTGAGGGGGTAGGATCCAGGAACTCGGATTCTGCCTGCTGGTCCAGCTGGAAAGAGCACAGAGGAAACTTGTAAGGGCCAAATGTTCCTATTTAACGGTCATGTTCAGCAAGGCGTTACTCGGTCTCTCCGTCCTCGTCTGTAAAAGGATAATATTATTACTTGCCTCGAGGGTCAAGTGAAATCGATGTAAGAACTCGAATGTCCTTTTTGAATGTAAAATGGTGGGATGATTTTGAAGCTGATCCTAGGAGTCAACAATGTTATGTATTACACTGGAGGTAAATTTCCCCCCACCCCCGTGCTGAAAATACTTTGTTTTCCAGGGGTTTTGTCTGTACTTAGGGTGGATCTCAACAGATGTTGCCTGAGTTTCAACAAGGGGGATCCATTCAGTGTTTGTGGAATGCTTGTTGCTGTGTCTAATACAGGGAGGCTGAACAGGGCCTAATAAAGCTGATGTTCTGTTGGGGTAAAGAGCCATTTGTCATACGTATTGAATGTGATAAGGGTGGTAATAGAGGATTTGCTGGTTTTAAAGTTGCCGGAGTGTGTGTGGGGGAAACCTTACGATATCCACTTAAATTCAAATGTCAGATAAACAACAAATGCATTTTTTTAACCTTTTTTTTTTTTTTTTTCAGAGCTGAGGACCGAACCCAGCGCCTTGCGCTTGGTAGGCAAGCGCTCGACCACTGAGCTAAATCCCCAACCCAACAAATGCATTTTTATAAGTATGTCCCGAATATTGTATGCGACATAATCATAAGAAAAAAATGTTTATCTGAAATTTAAATACTATATGGAGCATTATACTGTAACAACAGGCTATTCAAATCCATTGGGGCATCCTGATACTTGGAGGACTTACCTGGGTGCCATGCAACTTCGTAGCAAGATCGGCCTCGCTGTTCTGGGAAAGGGTAGCCAAACATTGATCGTTAAACCAAGGTAGGGAAGGTGGGTGGACAGAAGAAAAGAGAAGCATTTGGGCAAGAATATTCTGTGTAAAAAAGGCTGTAGGAGGAGCTGGAAGCAAAATCCTGGGGCATCTCCTACAGATGTGTGTAACAGCCTGCCTAATGCAGAATGGCCATTGCAGAGTGAGGGGGTAAGAAGAAGCCGGGGGAGGGTATTGCTAATAGTTACATAAAACGTATGTGCCAGGTTCTGTTCTTCTCTGTGCATATTCTACTTATTCGATGTTTACAACATCTCCACCAGATAGCTTCTATTGTACCCATTTTTATAGATGAGAAAACTGAGGCATACATGAGCAGTAAAGATCGAGGTCATAGGTAGCAAAATTGAGCCTCCATTCTTGATGCATGCTTCAGTTACTTCAAGTGTGTGAAGTGCTTTGTGTCTACATTAAGGACTTAGATGTTACCCAAAGCCACCGAGGAGGGGACATGTCACTTGTTTAAGGATCACTTGGAGGCTGTAGCTGTTGCTCAGTGGTCCAGAACTTGCCTAGAATGTGTGATGCCCTGGGTTCAATCTCCAGAACTGAAAAAGTAAAATGAGAGGAAGGGGCAAGTTAGGCTTAGTAGTTCATACAAGAAAGGATTCGTGGAGAATGAGGGTAGAGATCAGAGATTTCAACTATATTTAGGAAATAGATTAAAGGGGTTTCAGTGTTAGAGGCTTGGAGACACCGAGAATTCAGAGTCTGGCCTCCACACCCAGGCAAGTGAGCAGGAGGTGATTAAAACAGTGAAACCTCCAGGAGTCTGGGTAAGGTCAAAAAGAACGTTGCAAGTTTCCAGCCAAGTCTTTTAGCTCGAACTCAACCAGGACCCAAGTATTAAAGGACACACTATTTAAAAAAAAAAAAAAAAAAGGCACACACAAGAGTAACAAGTAGCCTTTTGTTTTCAATTGTTGTTTAGTTAAAAAAAAAATCCTCAATCAAGATCTGACTGAATATTGACATAGCACATAGCTCTGCTGTGCTTCACGGAATCTGACAGAAAAGACACCCCAAAGGAGGTTTTCTGGCTTAAAGCACCCCACCAGCTATGAAGTCTTTCCACACAGGGGAGGCTTTGCTATCTGTTTCAACCTTTAGTGCCAACAGAAACCTTGATTCCAACTGATTGAACTTGGATGTAAAGCACTCCATCTAACAGTCGCTTCAAAGCTGAGGGCTAGAGCTGGGTGGGTGTGGTGGCTCACGCCTTTGATTCCGGCATGTTTTGAACTTAATGAGGGTGATACAGAGGCAGGCAGACCTCTGTGAGTTCAAGGCCAGCCTGGTCTACAGAGCAAGTTTCAGGACAGCCAGGGCTGTTGTTACTCTGAGAAACCCTGTCTCGAACCAAAACAAGAAAAGCTGAGCACTGGAATTTATTATAGGACTTCCACCTGCTGCTTCCGGGAAGAGGCCCCCTTCTCCGGTACTTGGGGTTCCTGGTGCTTCCTTCTGCAGACAGGAGCAAAGCAAAGCAGCCATCTCTGCATCAGCACAGTAGTCTTACCGCCTTGTCCCCTCTCTGAATGGTAGCTTGTGCTCATTGTTAAAAGCAATGTTTACTCTTACTAAATTATTTACTCACTCATCAAATACTTACCCTCTACTAGTATCAGCCACCTTTGTAAAGATAAATTTTATAACATCTCTTTCCTAGGCGGTGGTGCTCAAGTATAGTGGTGCATGTTTGGAGGTCAGAGAACAACTTGGGGGATTACCTCTTCCCTTCGTCCATGTGGGTCCTAAGGGCTGAACTCAGGTCACCAGCTTGGGGCAAAAAACCTTGGCCCGCTAAGTCATCTAATAGGCCCATTTTTCTAAATCCAAGGAATATATCTTCAAATAAAGTAGACTAACGTTCCTACTCTTAAAGTGTTCAATTTGGAGGAGTAGACCAAATGAAATGGTCAAATAATATTTAGACATATATTTAATATTTTAGATGGTGAGATAAACTGAGAAGAAGAAAGGAGTGAGAAAGAGGAACAGGAGAGCATGTAGAACAGGGGAATCTTAAGTTGTCACAAAAATCCGCGCTGACAAGTGACATTGGAGCGCACACCTGAAAGAGCTGGGGGATGGAGCATCTGTGTTATGGGGAAAGAGCATTTCGGGTAGAGGCAGCAGAAGCGAAGGCCAGGAGGCAGGAGCTTGTCTGGAGTAGAGTAACAGGTGGTAGAAGCAAAAGGTACACACACAGAGGTTCTGACAAGAGGCGCCTGGGTTTTGAAAACAAAATATACTGTCAGGGCTGGAGAGATGGCTCAGTGGTTAAGAGCATTGACTGCTCTTCCAGAGGTCCTGAGTTCAATTCCCAGCAACCACATGGTGGCTCACAACCATCTGTGATGAGATCTGGTGCCTCTTCTGGCCTGCAGGGACACATGCAGGCAGACTACTGTATACATAATAAAATATGCTGTCACAATTAATTTTGTATATTTTCTTTTATTAACAGGATTTCCAGAAACCTTAAAATTACATAGATGGAGGTCCGTGAGATGGCTCGGTGGGTACAGTGCTGGGTTCAGAGCCTAGAACCCACATAAGATAGAAGGAGAGAGCCTGCTACACAGAATTGTCCTTCACCATTCATAGCCCCCCCCCACACCATGTACATACAATAAAAATAAGTTTTAAATTATATATACGACTCACATCATACTCCTATGTATAGCATTGTTCAAGTTCAAACCAGACTGAGAATACATATATACATACAGGTGGTAGAGAAGACACAGAGAGACATGGACTCCACTGAAGAGGCTGCTGAAAGAATCCAGGTGAGAGCAGATGGAGTCTAGGACCAGGACAGGGTTTGGAGAGGTTGCCAGAAGCGGATAGAGTACAGGTATATTTTGACTATGTGCCAACAGGATTTTCGTAAAACTGTAGGGTGTGAGCAAAGGCTCATCCCAAGTTTCCCAGCCCAAGAAGCTGAAAGGATGGTATTGTCGTTCACTGAGATGGCGAAGACTCAAAGTGGAAGCTTGTATGAAGATGAGGATTTTGTGTGAGCCTGTTATTCTGAAGATGTCTGTCAAGAACCCACATGGGGAAGATGAACAGGTATTTGAAGCTGGGGCCTCAAGAATAAGGTTGGGGGCTGGAGAGATGGCTCAGTGGTTAAGAGCACTTGACTACTCTTCCAGAGGTCCTGAGTTCAATTCCCAGCAACCATAGAGTGGCTCACAACCATCTGTATTGGGATCAGATTCCTTCTTCTGGTGTACATGAAGACAGAACACTCATATACATAAAATACATGAATAAATAAATCTTTAAAAAAAGAATGAAGTTGGGTGGGGGAAGAGAATTTCTGTGTCATCAATGAATGAGGGTGAATAGTACCATCAACAATGACCAGGAGATTCTGTGCCTCAGTCTGCCTCAGTCTTTCTGGATGCAGTTGTAGATGGGACTTGTAAGCTGGCATCCCTACACACACTATGGTCTATTGATCTACCTTCTGAAAATTTCTACCCTGGACTGTTGCTGAGAAATTGGTGTCACACTCTCCTCAGTATTTGTGGTATGAATGATTTGGTCCAACTCCAGGGCTTTTCATTTGCCCTGTGAAAGGTCTATAACTTGTTTGTTAACCTCTCTGGAACTGGGACCCAATGCATTTTTTTCAAAGATTTATTTACTTATTAGGTATGCAGTGTTCTGTCTGCATGTTGCCTGCATACCAGAAGAGGGCATTAGATCTTATATATGGTTATGAGCTACCATGTGGGTGCTGGGAATTGAATTCAGGACCTCTGGAAGGGAAGTCAACGCTCTTAACCTCTGAGCCATCTCTCCAGCCTGGCCCAATGCATTTTAAAGAAGCTACATGAAAAACAACTTTAATAATGTAAAACCTAATTAAACCCAGGCTTTTTACAATGAAAGCAGCTTACCCATGATTGGACCTGGTTGTTCGCAGGTACAGTTTATAAAACATACAAGGAAATATTTTATTAATAGGAAAGAGCCAATGATTTGGGGATTTATTTTTGCCCAGTTTGGAACTTCAGCTTAAGACAAAGCTCCACTTTCCTCTTACCCCAGCTCAAGGGTGGGGAAATGCAGGAACACGGCATTTACATTGGTACCTTCTTTTGGCAAACAAAACCAGTGAGTTGCCACCCATCTTAGACAACTTTGTGGGGCCCTTAGTAAACCTTTAAACTCAGGTTGATGTCAATGAAAATTCTATTTACTTCTGAATCTTTTACCATGCTTAAGCTCCAAAACGGAGTGGTATGTAAAGTACTAGAAGTCAGACAAGTTTTGCTGGTATTTGCTAAACAAAGGGCAGGGATTTTTTTTTTTTTTTTTCCAGGCCATTTTCTAAATCAGATGTTTGACTTCTGTGGCTCAATGTCCACCTGGGGAAATGGCTCTCTTCTCATAGCCACCTTCCTGGTGTCTTGCCAATCCCCAGGTCATGAAGGGTTCAGTCCACACGCTCAAGTGTACCGCTTCCCTTGTGCATAGATGCGTTCTCTCTCCCGCCCACCTGTGGCAATCTGTCGGGCACAGGCAGTACCCAACAATGGCTCTAAGCATTTACTTCCAAGTTAAGGTGCTTGGGTTCCAAGCCCACCTGCAGCCACCAACTGTGACCCTTGGGCAAATCACACAGCCTTCTTGTTTTTCAGTTTCCTTAGCTGTTGATAAACAGGGTGTGGCAGTGGTAAGAGTAGCCCTTGAGACTGTCACGGGGATTACATCAGAGGTCATCTGCTCATGAAGTGTTCAACAGGACCTGGGCCTGCCACAATTATTTGAGAGTCTAGCTAAGGTATAACATATATGTCTTTTTGCCACCAACAATGGCTGAGGAAAATAAGTTTGTGTTTTTTTTTTGTTTTTTTTTTGTTTTTCAGTTTGGGATATGTGTTTTTTCTTCTGGTACCTTCTTGTGATAGCTAATCTTGGTTGTCAACTTGACTACATCTGGAATTAATCAAAACCCAAACAGCTGAGCACACCTGGGAGGATTTTTCTTGGATTATTTGAGATGGAAGACCCACCCTAAATCTGGTCCACGTCTTCTGGTGGCAACCCACATTGAAGGCTGGAAGGAGGCATCTTTCATGTTTGCCTGCTTGCTCGCTCTGGTAAGTTCATCTGTCCTGTTCCTGAGCCCTCTTCCTTCACTGGTGTCTGACCTACTTCTTCAGGATTCCATCACAGAACGGGCAGCTCTCTAGGACCTTCCTGGAACTCCAGCACCAGAGTGGGACGGCTGAGGCATTCAGTCTTGTGAACCAAACCACCACCAGATCCTTGGCCTTTCCAGCAGGGGACAGTCATTGTTGGACTACTTAGACCACAGCCTGTAAACCATTCTAACTAATCCCTTTACACACACACACACACACACACACACACACACACACACACACACACACACACACGGCAGGAGTGTTTTGAAACATCAAAGCCTTCCCCCTATATTCCCTGGACATATTTCTCCAGGAACAAGGCCACAACTTGTACTAATCTTCCCCAAATAGCCACCAACTGGGGATTCATATACATGAGACTTATAGGGGGCAATCTCATTTAAACCAACACATTGTTCTTTAAAGGACCTGAGTTCAGTTTCCAGCGCCCATGTCTGACAGCTCACAACAACCTGTAAGTCAGGTTCCAGGGGATGGAGGATCCTCTTCTGAACTCCATTCATGAATGTAAACACTTGAGTGTGCACGCGAGAGCGCACGTGCGCGCGCGCGCACACACACACACACACACACACACACTTTAAGACCTTCTGTAAGAGGGCCTGATCCCCTTTGGGAGAGAGGAGCTCTCTTGGCTCTTTAATTGCCTTTGAAAGCGCCATCACTGAAAATAACCACACTGGGAGGTTGGGAGGAGACAAATGCAAATCCCAGCAAATAATGACAATGGAATAGCAGCTTTGGGTGTGAGACTGGCTTTGCTTTGACTTTGGCATTTAGGGTTTTGGCACTATCCAGCCTTCATGAAGCTGGTGTAGGATGGTTATACAAAGACAGACAAGATACAAGGACTGTGGCATTGGAGATGCCATGGGTTGGGCTGCAGTATTAATGGTCAGCAGCAGCAGAGCAAAGGTAGCATCTGAGCAAGGACTTGTAACGGGAGTGACCAGGTGGACAACTGCAGGAACAGTATCTGTCAGAGAAATTGCACAGTGCAGAGGTCCTGAGGCCTGAGTAGGCCTGGTGAATGGAGGAGCAAGAAAGGAAGGTCACTGTGGCCAGAAGAGGAATCGGGAGGGAGCAACCGACTGGGCTAGAGAGGCAGTGGAGACAGATGGAACAGCTATTGTCAGCGTTTGCTGTGCCCTTCAGCTTATTAGGATGCACCTCATTGCAGCCTGGAATTGTCGCCTCCTTCAGATGAGTTAGGCTCAGGCTCTTCTTAGGTTCGAGAACAAGATCAGGCAGATTCAAAAGTTAACTTTCCACAGCTACTAAATGCAATACGAAGGACTCAAAGCCGAGTCCAGGATTCCAGTGTGGTGTCCGTCCTCTGTGTCATTCTCCACTCTTAAATGCTGAAGGAGAGTCAAATGAAAGCCCCGGCCCACCCTTGAACCAACGCCACGAGAGGAGAGCCATGTGGAGGGGACAGACTCCCCCAAGGCTGAAGAGCCCCCAGAGCTGGGTGTCTTTTCTTGGGGTCCACCTTGCAGAGTCTGTGGTGTACAAGACAGGCAGGATTCCCTACCCCCAGTGTGTTCCAAGAGGTAAAAACTAATTGAGAATCAGGAGTGATATGAAAGGAAACAAGGCTTTGAGGCCAGAGGAAGCATGAAGCTACATGAAGAAGGGTGGGCACAGTCTGCCCTTGACCCTGAGAGCACCAGTTGTATAGACAGGTAAGTTTACTTTTGCTGAGGAGTGCAGTTTTGTCTATTGGGCTGCCTGGCTGACGAAGAGAAAGGTTCAGAGAACAGTTGGCCTCGGACTCTGGGGTGGCGGTGTCTTTGTTCTTGAGGCATGACTCACAGCCTGCTGGAGAGTACAGCTTGTCTGTTCACCGTTCACCGGAAGAAGCGTGTCTACGACAAAGTATTCAAGGAAGCCTTTAAAGCTGCTGCTGCTAGGATGCAACTGGACCTTGCTGCTGTGGCTGTCCTTTTGTGCTTTTATAATGTTTTATATACCACTTTAGCTTTTACAGTGGTGTAGAAGACATACCATTGTCCTGAACACAGAGGAGACCTGGGGACACTGATAGCAAAATCAAATCAAATCACAGGGTACAGACCAAAATAGGGCAGCCTCATCATAAGCTTTTTGTGTTTTGTTTTTGTTTTTTGAGACAGGGTTTCTCTGCATAGTTTTGGTGCCTGTCCTGGATCTCGCTCTGTAGACCAGGGTAGCCTCGAACTCACAGAGATCCACCTGGCTCTACCTCCCAAGTGCTAGGATTAAGGTGTGCGCTACCTCCGTCTGGTGTATAAGCTTTTGAGAAGATGAGAAGAGGCTCCAGGGAGACCCCTCAGGATGTGATAGGATCCAGCCTCTAAGTATATTAGCTACATGGATTTGATGGCGGGGCTGCGTCGTCTTCTCGTATAGCGTGCCTGGATGTTGAAGTCGATCATCCAGGAACAGTGCTTCCTGGTGTCTTTGGAGACTGAGGAATTGCTTCCCTCCATAGTCTCACTGCATCTGTGTAGGAAGATCATTACTCTCCTGCTTCTGTATCCACTTGCAGGAACGCACGTGACTTACTTTTCCCAAGGGGGCAACAAGATACCCGACTAAAGCAGTTTAAGCAGAGACTCTATTTAGAGGTAGAGTTGAAGGGTCGAGTTCATCATGTTGGGATGGCATGGTGGCAGAAGCATCTATCCAGTCAGGAAGCAGAGAGAGGTGAAGGACGCTGTTTAGCTCCCTTTCTCCCGTTCTTCAGTCTAGGTCCCCAGCTCATGGAATGGGGCTGCCTACCTTCAGGGTGGGTCTTTCCACCTCAACTAACGCAACCTAGAAACCCTCCCCAGACATGCTCAATGGGGATTCTAAATCTCATCAAGGTGACAAGATCAATCATCACAGCACAAGTGAGCCATCTACAAATGCTCCGAGGTCCAGGCACAGTGCTTGCCTAGGTTTTATATCATAATATCAGTTTCTAATCCACAGAGCCAACTGGCAATTATAGTGTTAGTAATATGTAGAACACAGGCTTAGGAGACCCAAGCTCAACACTACATGCAGGACTGGGTTCCTTTGCTTCCATGTGTCCAGAGTTGCCTACCTCTCTAAGATGACAGTTGCATTTTGCTTAGTGGGACTAGCTAGAGACTCCAAACTATAGTCACATTCGACTCTTTGCTCTTAATTCCTTGGTCCTTCGCCACGATCCACCTAAAATTAGAGATGGCTACTAAGTGTTACGTTCACTTCCCTCTACACAAAAGGTGAAAAGGGCAGCGTCCTTTACTCATTCACCAGTGAATGTTAAAACTAAACACCTATCGTAATACTCAAGTCATCGTGGTAGGTTCCTAGCATAGTCATTGTTGATTCAAACCACTTCTGAGTGTGTTGTCTGTCATTCGCCGAATCCTTGCCTTCCTCACTACCCAAGCCCTGGTTCTCCTATGGTCGTGGTACTCCCAGTGGGCCAGTCTGTGACAAATCATTTATTTATTTTTGTATAAGATTTCTACATTTAATCTAAAAATAAATGTACTTGAAATTTGTTGGGAAATGAGAAAATCCCTCCAAGTAATGAAAATAGAGTTTCAAAGATCAGTGAGAGGGCTGGAGAGATGACTCAGTGGGTAAGAAAGAAAGCTGAGTAAGCCCTGAGGAACAAGCCAGTAAGCAGCACCCCTCCATGACTTCTGCATCAGCTCCTGCCTCCAGGTTCCTGCCCTGTTTGAGTTCCTGTTCTGACTTCCTTTTGTGATGGGCTGTGCTGTGGAAGTGTAAGTCAAATAAACCCTTTTCTCCCCAAGTTGCTTTTGGTTATGGTGTTTTCTCATAGCAACAGAAACCCTAACTAAGAAATAGGACAAAAATTGATTCTCCAAATGTCAAGGACTGCTATTGGATGGGATGGTTATGCAGGAAATCAAAGCAGTTAAATTTCAGATAGTAGACACTGGCCTTGGCCTGTGACACAAAGATGCACAAAACATGAATGATACCAAAGAATTTATTGTAAATGTCATGGCAAATACACCAAACATCATCATCATTACAAAGGAGCTAGAAAAGTCCATGTTGAAAGTATGTGCTTTTTTCCCCATCATCTTCAAGTGAATGGCTAGTACCAACATTTCAGGTAACGAAATACTTCATGGATGGTCGATCTTCACATCATTTCAGGCCTGTATCTTTGTCTTCACTTTAAAAGCAGTTAACCATGGATCTCAGCATCAATTATTCTCTGTTTTTATCAATTCCGTAATGATCTGCAGAATCTTGTCATCTAGGAGAATGGAAAAATAAACCAAAATACGTATGAAAAAAGTGTAACACTGGCGAATTTTCCAATGCACATATGTGTAAACAAGAGGAGCACTTCGTTACAAGCCTGCCTTAAATTAGACTGCAAACTAACACTAGGAATGTACACTATGATAACAGAGATGTCCGGAAAAGTCAAAATTGTTGCTCTTCAAGGGTTATGTTAATGATTATTAAGGTTATCGTATGCCTACTTTAAAAAGTTAACATTTTGTAAAAAAGAAATTAATATTTGAGTACGTATAAGCAAAGGCCCCAAATAATGAGATATCTGTGTTTTTTTTTTCTTTTTGAGACAAGGTCTTGCTATTTTGGAACTCTTGATCCCCCTGCCTCAACTTCCCCAGTGCTGGGATTACAGATGTGCACCACCAAGCCCAGCCTGTTATTTCTATCACCAACTAGTTCTTTAGAAACTCCTTCAAGAAGTTCCTCATTTTTTTTTTCCACTGAGCTGAAATACACGGAAGGTTTTATTGAGTCTCCCTGTTTTGCAGTGTGACAGGATTTTCACCAAACAGGCAAGGATGGCAATCATTTTAATCTCTCCAGGCTTGGACCAAGGAAACAAAAATCCTAAGAGGGAAGTGCTCCCAGCGAGGTGTCAATGGGGAAGTGAGAAGCTATCTACTGACAAACAGAGAGGTGACATCATTTGCTAAGGTGGGTTTATTAACACCACTCTTGTTTACACAGCCCTGGAATTGTGACTTCCTGTGACTCTCATGGCCGGCCCTCATAGAAGGCTGTTGCTGCAGGGTGGCAAGACTGACACTTTACATTTATATGAGGTCCCAGGGTTCCTGGTCACAGTGGCTGTCATGAGACTTTTGACCTGGGCCCATGGTCTGCCTCTCAGGTGCTCGGAGCTAGAGTTGTAGGAAAGAAAGGAAGAAAGGAAGGATGAAGTACAAGTGGAGGGAGAGGAGGGAGGCTACTTGTTGGAAGTGGATCAATGTGTATCTAAAGGACCATTCATGTGCAGAAGAGGAGAGGACACAGGAAAGCACAGGGGTAACTTCTTCAAGAGTGTGAGTCACTGTCACAGCTTTGCTTCACGGTGAAGCCACAAAGGAAAGTCCCTAGTGTATCACCCTCCTTCCCAATAAGCACTGAACACAGAGATAAATCTTAGCACTGTTAAAGCAGAAAGGCCAAACTTCAGTGCTTACGATGCAATGCCATGGGAAGACTAGTGTACCAACTAGAAATACTAGTTCTAAAACTTGACTCTAATGGAGAGAAGACCACTGGCTTACAGAAACCACAGTTATAAAGAGCATGTTAAATCAAAGCCCGAGGATGCAACCAACTTAATCCCAAGTCTGGGACATCCTAGGGTTTATTCCAATAACTGCATTTAAAAAGGCCAATGGTAGGAGAGGAGAAGTGTCAACAGAAATAAAACCCATCACAAGTCTCTGCAGAGGCATCAGTATGCCCGGGACAGGGCACTGCGCCTTATATTACTTTTACAGTTGTTAAGAGGAGACGATGGATATTTGGGGATATACTCCCAAGTTAGGGGAGTACTGCACCATGCCACCTACAAACCAAGTGTTTATTTCAGGCTTCTGTTAAAGGTTAATGCATTTACTTATACCAACTCCTGACTGTGTATGTGTGAGAAATGCATTGGCAGAGAAAACAGATATGATAAGCCAATGAATAGCAAAATTTATTTTTCTCTGTGAAATGGACAGTTTAGAAGTAAAGTTAAGGAGACCAGGAGTACAGATTTTAAGAGAATAAGCTATATGAGATGAACAGAATTTAGCATAAGTAGATTTTATTGAAATAAAATTTTGTTAATAATTACACCAAAATTATGGCTTCAGTGTGTGTGCTACAGGGTATTCCAGTGTTAAATCACAATTTCTAGAATCAATCTCTCAGATTTTTAAAGTTTTAAAAATATATTATCATGTATTTATTATCTATCATCTATCTATACACAAATATATTATCTTCTAAATGTATACTATGTACAAATGTATGCCTTCTTTTACTTGTATCACAATAAAATACTTACTTTCAAGGGACATCTTTGGATTTTCAAGTTTTTTTCTTAAAACAGAATCAATGAGAATTCTCAGCTGCTTAAAAATAACAGCTATCTTTACTGGGGCCTGTTGAGAGATGTCACATTGGACAAAGTTAGCCAGAGTCATTAGCATGTGTTTAGGTAAGTCAATCTAAGCATATGCACCCCAGGATTTACCATAAAACACAAGGAGGAAAGCATGCACAAATTACCCAGGCTGCCCTGGGAGCTCAGCTGCACAGGCCTCTTGTTGGTCTGGTCTGCTATCTCCTGCCACACTAAAGCAACTTATTCCAAGAATTCTTTGTTTCTGTTTATGTAAGACTCTAAAACTAAGATGTTTGGGAATGATGAGGGTAGTGGAGAACGGTTTGAAACAGGGTCTTACTATGAATCCCTGGCTGGCCAGAGTTCATTATGTAGACCAGCCTGGTCTTCAACTCAGAGATCTTCCTGCCTCTGCCTCTCTGCCTCCTGAGTGCTGGAATTGAAGGTGTAAGCTACCACACCTGCTCAGAGGAAAAATCTATAACAGCTGTATTGAGGTATAATTTATAAATCCTAAGAAATTACTCATTTTAAGTACTTAATTTCAATGATTTTTGGTAAATTTGTAGGTTTTTTTTTAAACCAGTATCGGTACAATCAATTTTTAGAGCATCTCTTCCACTCCAACTTCTGTGCATGAACCAACTATTTTTTTTAAATGCACAATTCGCTCCTTTGGCTCTAGACACACAGCTATAATTAACAGGATGTGTGAGAGTTGCTTTACACCTGTCAATATTAATGGGGCTACAGAGGGGGGGAAAGCTTACCTCCACAAATAAGCATAGGTTGGCTTACTTTATCCAGAGAAGAACTTTCCATGTGTTAAAAACTGTGACTCTGTTTGGTTTTTGTATGGAAAGGCCAAATTGTAGTAGAATAAGCCCGAGTTTGGGGAATCAACTACCAACCAACCCACGGACTCTAGGAAGGCTAACCTCTCCCTGTGTCCTCACTGTCGCAAACTGAAGCCATCTTCTGGGAGAATCCATATAAAACAGGTGCCAATATACCTTGCAGGCGGCAATTATAATGATTATCAATAAATATGTTCGGTGATAGGAACATGATTTTCAGAGCTAACAGATTTAAAACCACATTTAAGAGAAGATGAAGTTTTCTACTGTAAACCACACAGGAAGCGATTCCGCAAACTTGAATGACAACTTTAAAATCTTCCTCAGTGAGACTGGAACGGGACCGTTTTCACGTGCTGAGTAAGGCAGGCGCCTGGACGGCATACCTGAAAGTAGATCCAGCCGTCGACAGAAAGCAGCCGCTCTCGGTGCTGGACTTCTATGTCGCCTCCAAAAAGCAAAACTGGAAAAGGGGTGATGAGGGTGGTTTCTCTCAGATAGACTCTGGCATACCTCACCTACAAAAGACAAGAGGGGACAACTTCATCGTCGGGAGATTTAGGGATTCATTCAGCTGTTTTTCATGTATGTATTTTCTTTACAAATTCAATAGAAAAATCATATATATATATATATACACGACCATATTCCTCTACCCAACATCTTTTCCTTTCTGAGACAACCACTTTTACTGACACACTCTGGGAACAGACAGATTATTAAACAACGTCCACCTGTTATACATGTCTGTAGAAAGGGTGAGAGCCAGGGGAGAGATCTGACTGTCTTTCGCTTATTTACTGAGAGAGAAGTATTTTGGGTTTTTTGTTTGGTTGGTTGTTTTTTTCCTTGATAAACTGCATCTGGATTTCAAATGTGAACAAAATACTAGTTCTACTTGAGCAGACAGACCCCACCAGGCCATGTGACCTTGCGGTGAGGGAGTTCCGGAACTGCACACCGGGGTTGGAGAGTGAGTACTTTACCTTCTCCTGGTACAAGAGCCAGCCGTGAGTCTGTAAATCCCGGTTTACTGAGGACGGGTGGACTTGGGCTTTGCCTTGGGCTGTCTCCACCATGCAAGCCAGTCTTTCCGTAACGTCCACAGACTTTGTATACATGATCTTCCCCACACTGTCATACAGTCCAGCAGTCAGCACAGCTTTAAGAAGGGCAATATCTTGAAAGGAGAGCGTCTGCCAGGCTTGTTTTCCTTCCCGGCTGGCAGAGGCTGTAGGAGCTGAAAATCCTGCCGCCTTAACCAACTTTATTAGCTCCTGCTTCACATCCTGGATTTATGATAGATGAGACATAATCACAATTGATTAGAGTAGAGAAGTTGCCAAACAACTGTGAAGTGCATAGTACTGTTTCCTACAAAAATAGGATGCCAAAGCACCATTTGATTGACTACGGCCAGAAGCTTGGGTGGGGAGCAAGATTCTTGGAGGTGAAGGACTAGAAGTCAGCTGTTCTTTGATGGACTTTGATGTCATAAAATATAAGTCTCTGAGAGCGACGAACATGGGTCTGACCACATTTGCACTCACATTGACTTAAATACAACCCTCCTTTAAAAATTTATTTTGATTTGTTTTTA